AAACATCCATCAAATTCATTGGGGTAAGTACATAATCTGAAAAATCGCATCAAAATAATTCCATAAAATTCAGCAAGTCGGGAAGAATGCGGCATTATTTTTTCGGTAAAACCGAAAAGGAGCTTCCATTCCATTCCTTTACGCCTAAGCAGGTAGAGTGGTGTATCCGGAGTTTATAAAAAGGGATAAGGGAGGGCGAAGTTAAAAATGAGGCCGATTACGGACTCCAGGGCGAACTTACACACCCTCACACACATATATTTCCTCGTCTTTCTTCCTTCTTATACGTCCTGGCTCCCTTACATCCAGCCCGAGGTATTTTATTTTTCAATTTTGGAATATCGGCAATTTTTGAGGGTTGCTCGTGCGTTACCCTTAATATTGGATTAAGGGTCTATAGTTTTTTCGTAAATTGTTACGTTATTTTGCGGGGGTTTCGAGGTCGCACTTTAATTATTTAAAATTATAGCTGTGTGGACAGAGTGACCTTTTGATAAAAAATGGAGTTCCCTCCCTACCTGTTTCAAAAACAATAGAATTAATATCTATTGTAGGTATCTAATTTTTTGTACATTTTAATATCATAAATTCAACTATAATATAAATCAGTATGTAGTAAATAAGCTTTAATACGAGAAGCGTACAATCAAAAAACATCCACTCTACAAGATTGCAAATAAAATATTAATTTAAAATAATTTTATTGGTGTTACTATTACCTACAGTACCTATATAGGTTACGATATTTAATCCAGAAGTTGTGCGCGTAAATCACATCTTCGTATAACTTCTTCCAATATTTCAGCAAAAATGTACATATTTACATTCGGAGAATCTTCTCGGCCAAGAAGCGGCGGAAAAGCGGAAAAGCTACTAGTCTTACCCACATATAATTCACCATCCACTTGTAATGCAGACACCGGCCCATCCATTACCAAGCCAAATTGTAAATCCATCTTTGAAAGAAGGTTTCAGTGGCGTGTGGTCGAATGGTTGAATAGCGAACGATTTGGTCTATAACCCTCTGAAGAACATTTGGTAGTATACAATACCTATAAACATTAGGCAGAAATTTCTGGTTTGTGAAATTTGATTCATGATTTGTGTTAATATAAGACACAATAATGAATAGATTTAAACAAAATATTTAAATTCTATGTGTGTATTACGAGTACACTGATGGTAATATTAGGAATGATCTTAGTGGTGTTTTTGTATTGTAATTATTATAGCATAGGGAAAACCCGCTTTGATTTTTCTGCGCGCACTGAAAAAAACGATCTCTTGTATGAAGAAAAAAAAATCTCTTAAAATATATTTATTTCCTATAAGTAAAATAGTCTTAAATTAAATAAAGTGTTCTTGTACAAAGAAAATGTCCGATTTTTTCGTTTCTTAAATTAAGAAAATTATTCTCTTGATTACAAATTATTTGAAATAAGAGATTTTTTCTTACAACAACAGTAGGAACTCTTATATAAAGTGCGGAACTACAACTAAGAATCTTTGGGTTTGATTTGAGATTTCCCGCTCTCATCATAAAATATTGGAAATTGGTAATTAATATCGGAGTGCGCCGTGTGAAATCGGGTCGTATATGGTAGTGGAAAATAGTTTGCTAGCGTTGAGCTTGAGTCGTTGAGTTAAGCTGTAGAGCGTTGTGTTTTTTCGTTTGACCGGCCGACATCGTTTTGGTTTTTGAGGGTTAAGTGTCTACACTATCTACCAAATTCAACAAATTGCAAAATGTAAGTATACCTATACTTTTATGTAAATTGTTTTTATATTTTACAAATTAATCTAGGAATTTAAGATTAATAAGGATTGATTAGTACCTACTAGTATTTAGGTAGATAGTAAATATGCATTTTTTGTTTGTTTTAGAATAATGGATTTATACAGAGGACCCAATTTCGAGCACTGCAATCGTTGCAGCAAAGAGACTCTAAGTAAGGAACAGAAAATCAGTCGTACTGAGGATAAATGCATCAGGGTTCCAAGGTTGCCGCTGGTAGAATATCTATAATATATTGAAATTACACGAGCTGGATCATTTGTCTTCATTATTAGATGGTTAGTAAATATTTTTCGACATTTTGTTGTATTGAGACACTATTATCATTATCATTTTAATGGAGGGTTTGGTTTTTGATTGCATTTGTTCAGGTATTTTCAATTTAAGATATTATTATTAGAATATAGTCAAATGTTTTCATTGCAAATTAATTTTTCGCATCTTAAAAATGGCGTCTCTTCTTAATGTTATTTCCTTATTCCAAGTAAATGAAAATTGGTTATATTCTTCTGTTAAGAGATTTGCACTTGAGAAAAAAAATGATTCCTTGTTATTAAAACATTATTGAATTGACAAAAATCTTTTCTCTTACGACAGAGATTTTGTTACTTGATTAAAGAAACTTCTACTTCGTTTAAATAGTATTAATCATTGGAGTTATTACACCCAAATTCATTATATGTATTATAATTAAACTTTCCTATTTTTGTGATTTTCGCAGTATTTTAGGCTTTATATAAGTTGATTTATAAGTTCATATTTTGTGATTTTCTATTAAGCTAGTTTTAGTTGGTTAGTTGTGTTTTGTTTTTTTTTGTTTAATATATATTGTTTTTTCCTTCTAATAGGAACTTTTTTTGAAAACCTACGCTACCCCCACCCTGTAAAAATCCTCACAAGGAAGAGCCTCTGTTAAGAACATTGGCTCTTGGCTTAAGTTAATAAATCTCTTGATCCAAGTAATATTGGCAATAATACAAGAGTTAATGAAGTCCCAAGAAGCAAACGATTCCTTTAATACAAGAAAAACGTACTTAATTCAAGAGTACCTGGGTTTAATATTACATAACATGTGTTTAATGTAAGTAAATATGCTCTTGGCTCAAGTTGTCTTCCCAAAAAGGAAGAAATCGGAGTTTCTTGTATTAAAATGTGGGGTTCTTGATTTAAGAGTATTCGGTCAAGAGAATAATTAGGTTAAATTAAGAACCCATGGGGGTTGGACTATACCAAGAGCATCGTTTCGTTAAATGAAATGCATATTACCTTAAATCAAGAGATCCTTTTTTTCAGTGCGCCTATGTATGAAAACCCCGGAATAAAAGAACCGAAACGAAGTTCGTACAAGAAACAAGAGACTGTATTATTGATAAAAATGAGCGCCGCAAATTGTTTTATACGAGTGCTCTGTGACAATGGCGGGAAAACTCGAGACTGTCTTATCGTAAATAATGTACGATGGGTTGACTATTGTTCGTGGTTTGGAGGAAATTTGTGAATGCAATCTTCTTGGTATGTTTTTCGTAATAGGTACGCTATATACTTGTTGAGTAAATGTATGTATACATGCGTTATGCTCATCCTTTTAATGGATTCTGTGGCTCTAGAAGGTTCATACTATGATAATACCACTATAGTTTTCTGTAGTATCTTTAGTTGTAGCAATATGAACTCTTATCAAATTCCTGTTGATAAAACTTCCAGTTCCTCTCTGATGCTATCATCCAATATTAGTGGTCCAAACAATTCATTATAGTATGTACCTATGGAATGTAAATTAAGCATATTATACACGCCGCTGATAGGACGAAAGCGCGTAACAGGTACGCTCGTTTCACAGTATCTGATTTCTGTATCAACAATAAACACGTCAACAAGCGCTGGAAGCGGCGGCGGTCGTAGTGCCGGGGACCGAACGGGGAACGGCATCCGGCCTCCGCCGACCGCCTCGTCAACGCCGCCACTATCTCAGCCACAGCCACCTCCGCTGCTGCTTCCGGTCTTTACACCGTAACTCCTAAAACATTCGATATACAACGCGAACCTGAAAAGCCCGCTGTAATGACGTCTTTTGTCGGCGAGATGAGGAAGAAAGCCGCCAAACAGGTGGTTTCGGATTGATAAAACTTTCCTAACTGGTGTGTAACGCCGTTTTGTATAAAATAGTTATCTGATTTTCGAAAGTTTATTGCTCATACCATTGAAACCAATGACTCAAAATGAGATATGTATGTGGAATTATTATTATTGTTATCTATTTTGGTTTCCGTTACATTTTGCCAAGTTTTGTAGAGACGTGTTAACCAAACGGGGAAAGCATTACGAGGATTGCATTTTACTTAATGTGTAAATCAAATTGGACAATTTTTAATCACTTCCACCAAAATTTTCAAAATCTATAATTTTTTTCTAGACATTGCGAGAGAATATTGTCCTTAATTAGATTCTTTTTATCTGATCTTATTAGGGGAAAAAATATATGGTCTTGTATTTTTACCAAAAAATCGTTTCCACCATTATTCAATATTATAGTATGAACGAGAACACTCGTTTTATTTATAGAGCAATCTTCAACCTAATTCTAACATTATTCTTGAATTGTCGCTCTGTTTTCAAACATACCTAATCGTTTAACACAAAGGCTCCACATGCGTGTTAAAACTTTTAGTTATTAAAACTGCTGTACATAATTATCCATTTAACCAATTTAAGAATGAGTATGGCTACAGTGGAAATTTTTCTATGTAAATATTTCTATGAATTAATTACTCGGACTAGTTTTATGCACTGATCAAATGCTCATTGGGATCATACCTTGTTAATTAGCCCAAATAACCTTTGAACGCCTTATCATAGAAATATGCAGTTTTCGCAGATATGTTTTATTTTGTTATAGTCACACAGAACTTAAGGCTAAAAGAATGTGTCTCATTTGATAAAATTTGGTTAATGTGAATCGAAAAGAGGGGATTTTTATAAAGGACTCTTTTGAGACGATACATTATAATTTATGTGTCACTGTAACAAAAGTAATAACAAAATAAAAGATATTTGCGAAAACAGCAAGTTTTCATGATTAGTAGTTTGAAAACTATAAGCTTAAATTTTCATTGGTATATACACCCGGTATAATGTTAGGGGAGTTGTGAACATTAAGGTTCGTCAAGAAAGTAACTAGAATGAATTTGTCACCATTGACATACATATTTTGATTAAAATGAAAATTAATGTAACCGAGCAAGATATAAGAAAGCAAAAAACTTATTTATTTAGGGTGAGTCTCGAAATTATTATCCTTGTTATGCTTCTGGTTCCCGAAACTTCTCATTAAAAAACGAATTTATAATAATTACCGGTGAAAAAGAAAGTAATTAAAAAAATCTGCGATTCCTCATCTTTTTGTATAAACGAACCCATTTTAACAAAACTTATTAATGCACCCTGCATACATTGACAGTATCGTTACAGCTGGAAATTTTCTACCCTACCAGCTCGTCGCGTTTCCCGACTTCCTGCTTTTGCACATTAGAGGCGCGAAACTGCTCGGAGGATGGAAACGTTGAATAATAGTTGTCTTTGCGAATAATTAGAACGGGCCCGCGGCTTCAACGGCCCATCAACGGGCCTGACAGCCCAGGGACTTCGTCGGCCACCGCTCTCGCCGCCTCCCTCACGTTCCTAGTCGACGTCTAGATCTATCTGCGCTGTCTCTATTATGTCTACCGTCGTTGATATATACTCGGCCCGCTGGGAATTTGCGAAATACTATCCAGTGCCGGATTTATTGGACGTGTGCATTGTAGTTGCGTTTATCTACTAAGCACTGGTACACTATGCAAACTTTCGGTCGTTGCATTTCGACGTTTGGTCTGCGGTATATCAATCGTTCTATTGGTGGTAATTAGATAAGGAATGGTCCTGCAACTATTAGTTTTGTTTTGTAATTGTACACTTAAAGGAACAGTATGATACATTTGGATTACTAGGTTATTCAGAGCCGGAGCTGTAGTTGGTATTTCTATTAGGTATTTGGTGATGCAATTCAATAGGAGTTATAAGTATTAAATGTTTTTGAAGGAATTCTATGAGCACAAACTAAAATAAATCTTTCACATCTTGTAACACAAAGATTGTCGCTTAATTAAGGTGTAGTTAATTTATATGTAACAAGCGATTCTACAAAGGAGCAGATTTTTTCTCGTCTCAACGATCAATATTTTCATTAACTAATTTTTTTTGAATGTTTCTTGCGTGCCGTCCCTTCCCGCTTTCTAATACAAAGCCCAATTATATCTCAAACGTTGTGTAGAAGAAGCGTTTTCCATTACTGAAAAGAGCATTTCGCATTCCGAACAGTTTTCGTAATTGTTTTCCAGGAAACCGCAATGGCCATCTTTTTAATTTGAACAACCGTTGGTTTCTGATGATGCACAGCCTACTTCAATTCACTTCCGCCATTGTCATGCATATCGCGTTCATCGTCGGCATTGTTCTTCATTAATTGTTTTTTTTTTACTTTTTTCTTTTTTTTGATTTTTAGTAAGGCAGTCGCTGGTACTGAACGGTTTTGAAAGATATTAGAGATGGGAGAATTCAGAACAAACCAATTACATTAGAAATATAACCTGCTTAATTAATTATCTATAGCAGCACTAACTTCTATTTTCACTTAAATTAAACAAAAAATTACCTATCATTTTATTTAAGATTTATGGGTGTATTCTATACATGCATATAGTGGTAATGCTAATATCTCTTGCGTTATTAGGCCCGTTAATAAAATAGTTGTCAAAAGTCCTTTTTTGGAAAAGCCGTTCTTATCCACCTCTAAATTCCGAAAGCGTTCTGTCCCCATGAATTTATGATATTGCTGTTTAAAAGGGGGGCGTTTTAATAGCCGGCGGCGGGTAGTGGGTGTCTATTTGTTTTCTCTGGAATGAAGAAATATGCGGAGGACAATGTGTAATTGAAATTATAATTCGGAATAGCAGCGAGAGAAACGGCGGGAAAAGTTATTAATTCTTTTGAGAGCGTCGCGGCGCGCGGGCGAACAAAGTGCGTTCGAAAAACGGAATTGCAGACGAGCCGGGCCGCTCCGGGGTGGATTCGTTGTGAAAGAGAAACGCGTAAATGCGTTGCTTTTTGTATTTTTTTAGACGTTTTTTTTTACAAGTTTCGCTGTGTTATTGGGTTAGGTCAAGATGTAGGTACTTTATTTGCTATCTAATTTTTGAGACACAATTATTATTATTACCAAAAACCATTTAACTGATGTCGTCGTTCTTACACAACACCGTTTTCTGTAGCTCTTATTTACCCAATGATTATAATTTTAATTTCCTTTTAGATTATCGCGAATTCGTATTTCTTACAGCTCTTATTCAATCCTTAGAAAATGCAATGGGATTTGTATACAAAAAGACCAAAACCTGTTACCGACTTTACTTCGTTTTACATTGTTTCGCTAAAAATGGAATTTACCAAGTTTGATTCTTATAATTTTAAACATTCGGAATGACATAATTACTTAAATTTCAACTTTACTTTTTTACTATCTATAGATTTTAGTGTGTAATTATATTTTTATTTGATGTAGCAAGAAAATATTCTACCTTCTATAGCGTTGTAATCCTTAAACAGGAGTTAAGCTTTGTAACTTTGGAAAGTGGGTAATTCCCTTTTGAATTCCAATGGGATTAAAATATTATACCCGTGTCTGGATTCAGCAAAATACGCCAGGTGCAAACGTTCTCAAGTACTTGAATCAAAATTCGTAAATAAGGACATTAGTTTGTGATAAAAAGTTCCTTGTATAAACGAAACTTGTTATAGGCGAGTGAGTATTTTTTTAATGAATCTCGCATAAAAAATAATATCGATATCGATTACATATCACTTGCCCAGCCGGCATTATGCACACATCATGGTTTTTAATCAAAACGCTCTTCTTGAGACAGTCGTCAAAAAATAAAGAATTGTCTTTAATCTTCAGTTGGGATAGCCAGTGGCGGAATGAATGAATAGATTCTTTTCTGTTATTCCTCTTATTTTTCTTTGACGCCTTTCGAGCGCGTCCTGCGATTTGATACTGTCTTATTAACATTCTAACGAAAAATCCTTTCGTATTATAACGAAAAGGATTTCACAATAAGCATATTTTTACGAACGTACGTAAAAAATCTGAATGTAGGTACCTAATAATTTATAATTTTTTTCAGGTATGTATTTCGCAATTCTAAGACTAACAGTATCACTAACGTTTATTTGGAATATTACTGTCGGTACCCAAGAATTTTTAGAGGTAAGAATTAAGAATAATTTCATAATCGTTTAATACACGCAATCGTCCTCCAATATAATCTTGTAAAGCTTAATTTTATATATTTGGATAATCCGGAATTCAAATTGGGGTATAATAATTTATTCCTCTCCCCGTCTCGCCCCCATTTGCTAGTACGAAAGTTACCCGCTTTAACTTTCCCGAAACAAAATAAGAAGTATTTGTCAGAATGTTTATGCAAAAATAAGAAGGCGAGAGAGAAGAACATCTGTTGCTAAAAATGCTCCGGCATATTAATTTCGATGTATATATATGTATATTCGGTCGTTCCGTTGGCGGGGGCGGATGGCGAGAAGGCGGAAAATGGACCGCCGGCGCCGATACGAGGCCTGCAGCTTTTTATTTTCCTATTACACAACGTCTAAATTATTGTTTTACTTAAGACTCGGCTGTTTAATAATTGATAAGGTTTCTCTGGGGGCCCCGCGGAGCCTGCCGAAGAAAAGACCATCACGCCGCCGCCGCACAAAATAAACAACCGTGGGGATTCGCTCTTTGGGGGGCACGTGTACAACTACCAAGGTACATCGAAATCATTATAACTTTATACGAGATGGCTCTTCTCATGTTTTAATTAACCATATTTTTATCATTTATGTACCTACCTATACCTACTAAAATTTTGTAATATTTACAATATTTCACACTATTTCATTCATTTCATACAAAACTAATTTCACTTACTATAAATTTATTATTGCAAGTTCTAATTTCATATTTTACCGTCCTTACAAAAGGAGCTATTTGGGAAATTTCATCATATATGCATAGGAATAAACATTTGATAAACTAAAATCAAATTCTAGTTTAAAATGTTTAATAAAAACCGAAAAATTAACGTATAAAATTTTAATTTGAAGCAAAAATTCGAGAAAATAATTTCTCAATTCGAACGTAGAGCTTTTAGCGTAAATTCGAAACTTTCACCGATCTTGAATATTTAATCAAAGCTAATGAGCCTCTCTGAACCGCCGCGCAAAGAGTTAAGCGCAAGGAGTCGCAACTTGTAATCGAGTGGTGATTTTATTTACTTATTTACTTTCAAAGTATATGTGGAAAGTAATAGAAACTTTTTAACAACAATCGTTGCTTTAGTATTACCAACCTAGACCCGATTTTCCGAAAGAACTTAATGAATGGCTCGCTTACGTGCAAGGTCATAGAAACGACTTTAGAATTATCAGAAATATAGTTAAAAGAAGAAAAGCAGAATCAGATTATTACGATGAACGAGAATCAGAAGAGAATAAGGTAAATTCTCAATTTTAGTTAACACATTATACAGTCATTGCACTTTTCACGTTTTCCTAGCTCTTGAGCGACCTAGAAGGAGAAGATGAAACGCCCCAAAACGATATTTACCCTCGCGATAACATAGAAAAATTAGATAAGAGCGCCGTTTCAACTGCGAAAAGTCGCACTAACAAGGCCAAACGGAAATTAAGCAAACCTGCTAGAACTCGAAGAGAATCTGACGAAAATTCGTTTTTCGAACACACCAATACCATCAATGTAGATCCAAAAGGCAAAGTCGGCGAAATCAAACGGTCCGAAGTGAAGTATCCCGACCAATTCGTGAATCGGCCCAAAGACGACGATAAACGTGAGATAGAAATTCATATATTAAACGACGGTAAATTACTGAAATCGTTAAAAGACGAGAAATCCATCGTACTAAACATCGAAAACAATGACGATAATCATCCCACTGCTGCAGCTGCAAACGATAACATCGTCGATTCGCATGCTGAGGTCGTCAATTCGCCCGAAAGAAGCGTAGATAACGACAAAGAAGCCGCTTCTAATTTCAGGAATTTATTCACGGCCAACGAAAATTTAAATACCGACAGCAGCGTTGCCAGAGAAGCTTTGGGTAAAACCTCTTTATTGTATCACGTCACCCTGCCCAGCCCGAATTTTATGGCTCCTCAAGACACCTACGACAACACCAGTACGTTAGAGAATCATTTCCAGCACAATCATTTTAGAGATATGAGCAGGTATTGGAGTGACGTAGAAAAAAATCAACTACAGCAAGGTTAATTATATTTTCTATAATTTAAAAGTTAAATTAAATGCTTTTATGAACTTCAACAGGTATAGAATTCGCCCAGGAAGCGGGGAACTTGCGGAAACAAAATCAAAAAAGCAACAACGATGGTTTTGAAACTGCTCGAACGATTATAATCGAGCATGTTGCAAACAATCCAAGCTCCAACAATCAAAAAGATAGTAGATTTGATATGAAACGGAATTCAAATAATGTCCTTCCTACACGTGCACCTCAAGAACAATTCGAACAACCACTCAAAGAATTAGATTACACTATGAAGAGTAATATCGATGAGGTCGAAGTTGTTCACAATAATGTAAAGAAGAACAATCACATTATAATAATCACTGAGAAAGATACGAATGAACAAGATAAATTAAGAGACCAACGCCCTGTGCCTTCAAGTTCAAATAAAATCGACGAAAACATTAATAATCTTATATCAATAACCATTGTTGTTCCTCGTAAGGATGAGGAACCTAAGGAAGAAACTAAGAATCATGACACATCAACGAAACTTGCTGATTTTGGAAAAATTGAACGAACCACTATGGAGCAAAACATTGATCAGAAAAATATACAACTCGATCTTAATCCAGAAACAACTACAGAAGAAGCCCATAAAACACAATTTAGTGGTCAATTATGTGAAGAAGGCCAATGTCACAACGATAGAGAACTAAGACTGCAAAAGTTTCGTCAACGCGAAGATGACAGGCGGTTTTATGGATCACAAGAGGAAAAACCATTCCCTTTATTACGAAAAGAAGTTATTGTTCCTTACGAAGTGAACAATCCAAGATATTTATCCAGGCAGAGCTCTTCGGATTTTGTGAAATTCCCATTAAACGCCGATTCCATTTGTCAAGGTCCTAATTGTTTCAAAGACAAATCTTGCCAAGGTCCAAATTGCAAAACAGGAACCGTGAAGTACAAACGAAGGCGAGGCAAGCGAAGGCACAAACACAGACCCGAATTCGATCATTCCGATTATATACAAACCTACAAATCGAGGCAGCTAAAAGAGGTCAATTACGTTTACGACGCCGATTTGGAAGCTCCGAGTCCAGAAACAGTTTCCTCCGAAAGATCGAAACGATTAGGTTTAAACAAAGATGTCGGGGCCGAAGGTGATTACGGCGATGAAGAAGACTCGGCGTCAGTGCGAAGTAACGTCACCACTAAGTTGATAAAAAAAGTCGACGACGTCTTCGCAAATCCCCATACAACATGCGAACCCGACGATGAGGACTATTATTATGACGAAATCGATGATAAAAATAAAAATTCCAACACCAACAATCACGATGTACCACATTCCAACGTCGATACGGTGAGTGTAGGAAAACGACTGCACAAAAAAACCAAAAATCCATCGAAAGTTAATAATCGAAATAAAGGCGAACCCGAAGTCATACAGAGCCAAATCCGAGAACCCAGAGACATAGACCAACTACCGAAATTCGTCATAAACGACGAAATCAACGAAGAAAACCTACGAAAGAGATCGTTGGCTAATCAAAAAGAACAGCAAAACAAATTCCCCTTATCGTCCAAAAGTTTCTTTGCCAGCAACAACGTGAAGCGAAGGGACTCCGGCGATTCTGACCTCGTCAACGACAAAACATCCGCACCTTCGGGCTCGGACAAATCGGTTACCATCGGCGACGCAATGGCTGCAGGTGCTAGCGTGGCTGCTGATAAAGAAGCGGCTGCCATCGGCGATGCTTTGGGCCAAACGGAGCTCTCTGTAAGCGCCGTAACGGACGAGTGCCTGACCAGTACTCACGTAAGCGTGGGACCTGTTTGTGAAACGGACAACTTTACGAAAATTAAAGTTACCACGATGCTAAATCTCGCTGCTGCTGGCGAAAACCAAGGCGATTTAGTAAGTTTTTTGTGCGAATCCAATCGAATGTTGAGTAAATATTTATTTTAGAACAATTCTCTGCCATCGTTGAGCGAACAATATCAAAATCTAGAAGACATTCTTGTTGGGCGTTTGCCTCTTTCTATCGTAGATTCAGTGTTCAAACATATGAAAATACATCCGACTTTCAAGCAACGGTTTTTTAGAGGCATGAAGAAGAAAAATTTACCGGTAAAATGTCCATTTTACAAATATTCTTGCTAATTTACGTCGTTATAGGTTAGTTTCAAAAACCTACCGGAGATAAGTAGCAAAGAGAGTAACAAACTGATTAGATTGATGTCCAAAATAATCAATCGATTACAATGGACCACCACGTGCCAAACGTTGCCGAACAAACTCAAACGTTATTTGAAAACCATTACTTCGACCAAAGTGGACGATCGCTTGACCAAAACCAAAACTATGGAAGAAATCGACCAAGCCGAGAACCAAAATCAGACTAGCTTTATTTTCCATTCGAGCACAGGCGTGGATAATATAGAGGAAAAAGTTAGAATTCTCAAGAACATGTTGATCAAGTATCAACATTTACCCGAAAGTTGTAAACCTCGAGCTGAGCCAGTGAAGGAATACATCGAAAACCATTTGGATATGTTAACTCACGCAATGTCCAGTAATATGGATCCTTCTCACAGAGAGGACGGTACACTACTAATTAATTAGTTACGATATTCTATACAATAATTGGGTGTTATTGGCTGTAGGAGTTAAGGATTCCTCCAGTGATGTTTCTCACCACGAAGCGTCTAAAAGGAATGAAAAAGGGGACGATTCCGATTTGATTGAACACGAATTAGAAAGTTTAGGTTTAGGAAAACACCCGAAATTCAGGCCTAACTTCGATTTGGAATCGCTACTTAAAAATTCCGATAAAACCAGCGAACAAGGTTCTCAGGAAGGTAAATAAGTGTAAGCGTTGTTTTTTTTTTGGTAATTTCCCACGCCTTTCTAATTTTAATGTTTTAATGTAATTCATTTAGGTAAAATAGCGGCGAAGAAAACAAATAAAAGAGCCGCTATTAGAGAGACATCGGAAGAATACGATAAGTTATTAGAAGCTGTTAAGAAAGAAAGGATTAAAAGAGAGGGGAAGAAAAGAATTGCAGAAGCTTTCGGTAAGCTCAGCATCGACGATTATAAGGGAACTAATACGGAAAATATAATTGATGAAATTTTTGAAAATCCCTTAGTTTATTCATTTTAATTTAATTTTTAATACTAATTATATATTATTCCATATTATATAATATATTTTTATATTCTATATTCAGTAAAATATTATACGTAAGTAATATAAATTATATATTTTTATGTAGGTATTAGTGAGGGGCAACATTATGGAATAAATATTCATTTTTTCGGGAATAGGAGACTTTAGAGACAAATCCTGAAATAGGTCGATTTTTATTTTTAAATAGTTATTTTGTGGCATATATATTCTATTAGTGACGTCATCCATGTGGGCGTGATGACGTAATCAATGATTTTTTAACTAAGAATAGGGGTCATGTGATAGCTCATTTGAAAGGTTATTCAATCTTCTATTTAGTGATAAAAACAATAACATATTTATTGATAAAGGGTGGCCAAAAATATTTAATTTAAGTGTTTAAGAGCCAGGTGGATAGTAATTTGAATATTTAATTTAAGCGACAAGCAATTTTTATTTGCTAAATTTGTACAAAAAAACATTTTTTTTGCTTTATGACAGTATACTAAAATGTATTTTGTATAAAAAATTACATGTTTCTTGTTGTGAAAATTAATTTCATTTACAAATCTTGGGCAATCCTGTAAGGTATAATAATTATCATTAATATTTATTAATAAAATGAAACGAAAGTTAATAATAACAAAACTAATTACATAATCGATGAATATTTAACCAAATAGTAGGCTACTGGTGGGCTACTGTATAAGTCTGTGAAAATGGATATGTCTATTAATTGGGATCTTGACAAAATTGAAAATTCAACCTGTAAGCTAACAGACAAATTTTAGAAAGTTATAGTAGAAATTTTAGAAATTAATAATATATTATAATATAATAGTTACATACAGGTTGCTCCATTTTTGATCGCAACATAGGTTATATAGGCGATGGGTGCAATAAAGACAACTTTATGAAAGAGTGACATTTGTGTCATTGTAACTTTTCACTCTGACAACTGTCATTTTAATAATCTTTCTTTGTTCCACTCATAGAAATGACCATGTTGCAATCGGAAATGGAGCAAGGTGTATTTAGGTATGTACCTATACAAGTGTTCGAAATTATTTTACTTATTTTTTAGTTGATCCATTACCGATATTTAAATTTTTGAATTATACATTGGCAAAAAAAATCCTAAAAATAAGTATTCCAATATTATTGATGAATTATACCTTTGTAGGAAGGCAAATTTACATGTTATTTAATTCCAATTTCTATATAACTAACATAGCTATATTACAATGTACATATATTTTTGTTTCGGTAAGTATAGTGCAGTAGTAATACAGTATTTAACAATATTATTGTTTACAATATACCTATTGTTTAGGGATATCTAATAGAGCATGCCCTATATCTTGAATAGTTAATTTTTAATTTTGCGATTGCATAAAAATTTATCAAAGGCTTTTTATATTACTAACAAATTTAATGTTTTTTTAGTACTGCATTATGGTATTTGGAATGATAATATTTTTATATGCAAGTGTTGTCATAAGCGAACGTATGGAATTATATTTCAATTGCCTTAATTTTTCATCGAAGCAATTGCAAAGCAGAATTTTTAGAACATCATACAAATTACAAGTAATTGTAATAATTGGCTTTCTAATATTTGTATGGATCTTTAAAGAATTAATCACGATTAATTGGTCATCCAATTTGACTAGAGTTTGCATATATAACAATCTTGGTATAATTGGTTTATTTATTGACTATGTGCAAGGTTTAATATTTCTATCAACATTTTGGACTATTTACATTAGTCTTACTTTTATACCTTATTTTTTTGGAAATTGTTTTTTTCAATTAATAATGCTAAATGAAAGAATAAAACAAATAAATGGACGTTATCGTCCCGAAGTGGATTTAGTAGACAATTTACCCTATCAAGTCATGATCAAGAAGAGATTGAAATTTTGTATAGTCAATTTTCAGAAACTATTAAGGTAATTTAAATAATCATTTAAATTCGTATTACTAGTCGATAAAACTTTGTATTTTTTCCTCAAATATGATTTATTTCTGCCAGATTGGTATATTTCATCGATTACGAAATAATTTCTATTTTAGAGCAAAAAATACATTTAGAAGGAATAGTACAGTGCCTTTACTAACGGTTCATTTACTTGGTACGATATGCTGTATATCATTTTATGTAATGTGGTACGAAGTAAGTAAAAATGTGTATTTAAAAACTTATCTTTCTAATCTTTCAAAAACTGATTGCAGATCAGTTATTACTGATTAAGCATTACAATCATGGTATAAAAATACATGGTGTTACTAAACCGTCCTGCACATCCGAAAGGGGGCAATTCTTTGGCTTATTTCATTACTAAAAGTTTATATTAACCTAGGTCCGCAAACGCTTCGTTGCCGATCTAAAAACCTGTTTTTTTTTAATTCGGAGGGATATAACTTTTTCGGGGAGGGTTTTTTAAAAAATTGTATACCAAGTACACACCTTAATTTTCACCACAGAATCGCCCCTTAAATTTTTTAGGTGTCATTTAGATACATCCTGTATATATTCTAGAATTTCTATTTTAGGAATACAATACTAATTTTTGGTTAGCACTTTCATTATCAATAGGTTCAATATACATTTCTCTGTACAATTTTGAGGTAATGCAACTCGTGGAATCAGAAGTAAGTTATTCATTTGATTTTTAATGGTACAAATCTTTTAAAATTTAATTTTTAGTATAATAAAATTAATGAAAATATTGAAAATTTACCATGGTATACATTTGACAAAAAAAATAAAAACAATTATTATACATTTTTAATGTCTACATCAAACGGGTTGACGTTGTCTGAACATGTAAATCTAGTTTTGAACAGAAGAGCAATTTCTATGGTGAGTTCACACTATTTTAATATCTTATTAAATACTTAAATTTTTGAAAAGTAAACTTTTTAATCCATGTTTCTTCCTTATTCTAAAGTGTTATTTTTTTTGTAGTACTTGGGATTATCCTATAAATTTTTGGGATTTTTTCAGCAACTTTATGCAACACGGAATACATAAGAGAAGTAAGTACCAAAATATTATTATTCCTTTCACTTAATGAGATCAATACCTTAAACCAAAAACCGTTTATTGCAAAAATTTTTGAGGTTTTGAGATTTTCTATGCATTATACACCATCTATACTCTATGGTGCATTTCAGTTTGGAATATGGTCATTTCTATGAGTTGAACAAAGAAAGATTATGAAAATGACAGTTGTTTGAGTGGAAAGTTGCAATGACACAATGGGGTCGATTCTGTTTGCAAATAGCAATATGGCTATTGGCTATTTTGTAAAGATATTGTTATGTTAGCAATGTCCTAAGAAATAACCTATTCTTTTCGTATAATTTAAACAATATGATCTGTCATTAGTTAAGATATCTTGTTATAAACCTTGCTATTTGAACAATGTCATTTTTGTACTTGCTATTTGATAGCAATATGGCTAATCCGATCTTTTTTCCTTACTATAGGAACTAACAGTTTACATTTTTTGCAAATACGAGATACAAGTAACCCCTTTAATTTGCTAAATGAAAAATTTATAAAACATAAATAAGGCTACAGCTTTAAATTTAATTCAACAGTTATCAGAAGTTCTAGAAAACCATTCCGAAGAGATAAAAATAAAAATAATTACTTATATTTTTTTGGGTTTTAAATTTTTTAATTTTTTTAACTATTACTATTACTATTACTTCCATTTGTTCCTTGCTTATTTTCTTTGTTCGTCTTTTTATCATTTTATAAAAACCCTCTCTGCTTCCACCGCAGAAACACTTGAAAAGCTGCCTTCAATGGTGTCAATTGTAATCGTAAAATAATAAATATTAGGGAGGATTCTTCTTTTTTCGGTTATATTGAGATAATTACAGTGTTGTCAGCTCTATTTTTCACTAATGACAGCATGTTTTTAGCAATATGGTAAAGCGTTAAAAATATAACCAATATTGCTAAACTAATCGAAACAGAATAAGAAAATTTTTGGCAATATTGTTATAACTTGAACATATAACAACATGGTTGTCATAACAATATACATAACAAGATCTGAACAGAATCGACCTGAATATCACTCTAATTTTTTTCTTTATAAGTGTCTAATGGAAGTTGCCTTTTTCGCTCATTTTTTATCCTCATTTCTCTCTAGATCAAGTGGATCAAGTGCTTCTTTTGTAGTATTTGGGATTTTCCTATAGATTGTTTGGACTATTTCACTTTATGCAAAACAGAAGAATAATTAATAAAATTTCATTAAAATTGTTTCTTTTTCTAAATTTTAAACCATTAAATATTTTTGGCATAAATTTTAAAATTTGCGTTTTTTTCCTGGATTATGTACCTACCCCACATATATTCCTAAATAAATTAGGATACATATCTTAATAGTTGCTTATAATAAATTCCTAATAACATATTACGTATTCCGGCGGGCTCATATTTATTAATATTCTTAAACAAATGTCAGTTAATGATGGTCATTAGAATAACCATTTAATCAATCAATTAACTACAATAGTGTAATTATGGATACATAAATGCAGTTACTGGTTTATTTTCATGTGGCATTAAAACGAAGATGGATCCCTGCAATAATTGGAACTTTGACAAAATGGAACATTTAACTGGTAATTAGTCCAAATTATAACTAAATGTAGATCTATTATGAAGAAATTCATAACAATTTTTCATTTACAGGTGATCCATTGCCAATACTAAAAACGTTGAATTATACATTGGCAAGAAAGATTCTAAAACTCAGTATTTTGTTATTATTGATGAATTACATTTGTATAGCATGGCATTTGCATCTATTACTTTATTCAAATAACAATACAACTAAGCTAGGACAAGTTAGATGCACATTTATCTTTGGTTCTGTAAGTATAACTAGTAGATATAACAATCGGTAAAAACAGTCTTATTATTATATAGTGATGGGCAAATGTGTGGAACTAATATTAAGTAAATA